AGAGTGAGAGAGTGAGAGAGAGAGAGAGAGAGAGAGAGAGAGAGAGAGAGAGAGAGAGAGTGAGAGAGAGAGAGAGAGAGAGAGAGAGAGAGAGAGAGAGAGAGAGAGAGAGAGAGAGAGAGAGAGAGAGAGAGAGAGAAAGAGAGTCGGGTAAGAAAGGAGGAAGTAAAGGTAAAGAGGAAGAGGGAATATAGGGAGGGAAAAATGGAGATAGGAGGGAGGGTAAGAGTGAGGTTTAAGAGTAGGGAGAGAGGGTAGAAAACAGGGAAGGGGACTGGAGGAAAGATCGATAGTGTGAACGAATGAAAGAAAGAAAGAAAGAAAGAAAGCGAAAAGGTAGTGAAAAGAAAAGAAAAAAACAAAACAATAAAGAACAAAAACAAAGAACAAAAATGAGAAATGAAAAGAAACCAAACAAGTACCATGCGTCTAGACATACCTTTCACCAAGGCAGAGAGACAAACAGACAAACAAATAAAACAAAATCATTACCGAAGAAAATATCCCGGTAGAAACTCGAGAAAATGTCTCCCTCATCCCCTTCCCCGGGCCGCGCAAAAAAATGCCTGGCGTGCATGACATTCTAGAACACTCTGGAGCATGTTCAGGCACGCATACGCATACGAGTGCATGGCGTCAAACCGACACGCATTCATTTTTTGTTGGGAATGAAAACAAGTTCGTGATAGACAGAGGGAGGGACTAAGGAGGGGAGGGGCGGTGAGGGAGAGACAAAGGGGAGGAGTAAGAAAGGAAAGAGGAAGGGGGGGAGTAGAAAAGAGGAGATAGATAGATAGATAGATAGATAGATAGATAGATAGAGGGAGGGAGAGAGGGAGAGAGGGAGAGAGGGAGAGAGGGGAGGAGGGGGGAAGAGAGAGAGAGAGAGGAGAGAGAGAGAGAGAGAGAGAGAGAGAGAGAGAGAGAGAGAGAGAGAGAGAGAGAGAGGACTGGAGACCGACATAAATAGATAACAATAAAAAAAACTTTGATCTTTCCCTCGTAGTGTAGCATTTTATTCACTGTTTAACTCGCCTAAGTTACGAGCGAGTGAATGGCGTTTTAAATATTCAAGCGGGCTCCCTTCGGTTACAATCACGGGAGAATCGATGCAGCGATAAATAAATGAATAAATCTATAAACACCCGCACACACACACACATACACGCACAGCACACACACACACACACAAATGTGTGAGATAGAGAGGTAGAGGTGGGGGGGGGAGGAAGGGGAAAGGAGGAGAGGATAGGAGAGAGAAGAGAGAGAGAGAGAGGAGATTGAGAGGAGAGAGAGAGAGAGAGAGAGAGAGAGAGAGAGAGAGAGAGAGAGAGAGAGAGAGAGAGAGAGAGAGAGAGAGAATAACCAAAGAAAGAAAAAGAAAAGAGAACCACAGACAGAATCACCAGCAGCCAAACACACAGGAGAAACGCGCGGGAAATTCTAGAACGTTCAGCAGCTCGCCATAACAATCAAACGCCACTACTAAACTTGAGTAACGAGAGAGACAAAGTTTTAACAAACATCCGATTCTGTGTGTGTGTGTGTGTGTGTGTGTGTGTGTGTGTGTGTGTGTGTGTGTGTGTGTGTGTGTGTGTGTGTGTGTGTGTGTGTGTGTGTGCATGTGCGTATATCTTCAAGTATGCGTGTGTGTTTATGTGTATGTCTACCTGTATATATACGCATGTGCTATTTTGTATACGCATTTATGTGTGCGTGTGCGGGAAGATGAAAGGAAGGGAAAGAGAGCGCGCGAGAGGAGGGCTGAGGGAAAGGTACGGGGGGGGAGGGGCGGGGGAGAGGGAGAGGGGGGGGGAGAGAGAGAGATTCAAGCACCAGTCCTGCTGGAATGGCAAGACAAACAAATTTGTCTCTGGCGGAGGTAGGGAGGCGTATGGGCGCAAACATCAGACAGCAATTAACATTCGCTGTCAACACGAGGAAGGGAAAGATAGGGCGCAGGGGAGGGGGAGGGGGAGGGGGAGGGGGGGGAGGGGAAAGGAAGAGGAGGGGAGTTGAGAAATAATACGGCCGCTGGAGGTAAGATATCACAGACGAGGAAAGAGGAAGACTAACAAACAGAGAATCCGCGTATGAGAGAGAGAGAGAGAAAGAGAGGAGAGAGAGGAGAGAAAGGGGAGAGAGGAGAGAGAAAGAGAGGAGAGAGAGGAGAGAAAGGGGAGAGATGATAGAGATAGGAAGCAGAGAAAGAAATTAAACAAAGAGAAAGCACAGATTTCATAAACAACACCCACCCACGCCCGCCCATCCGTACATCCAATCTCCTTCCACACACACACCCTGCCCCCCCCTTCTCCCAGTCTTTAACCCATTACTCCACAGATCAACTCGTCATTCATGCCAACAGCGCCCCATAAAGGCGAGTAAGAGAGTAAACAAAACCATTAACAAAAGAAACAAAACGCAATCGATAAGCACACACACACCTAGCAAACAGCCGCCACCTACATAATGCATAACAAATGAGGTTCTCCACACGTCAAACACTCTTTTTTAATGAACGAAAACAAACACAAAACAACAAAAATGAAAACGGTCTTCTGTCCCTTCCCGTTCCCCTATCTCATTATCCCCACAACCTTATTCCCTTCATCCTTCGCCCCCATTCGCTTTGCCTCTCCTTCCCCTTCTCCCCTTCTTCCCTTACCTCCTTACCCATAACCCCTCTTCACCCACAATAAGCCGTCTTCCTACCCCTTTGCTACCGCGTCCTTTGCCTACAGAACCCCACGACTCCCTCCCCTAACCTTCCATTAAAAGTCCTTTAACTTTCCTTACCTACCCACCTAACCCCACTACCCTATCCCCTCCTCTCTCTCCCCACTACAGGCTCTCTACCTACCTCCCTCCCTCCCCCCACCTACACTCAGTGCCCCTCCACCCACCTGAACCCACTACCGCTTCGCTTCCCCCCCATCTAACCCCACTACGACCGTTCCACCATACCCAGCAATACCCACCCCCACCTCACCCACTCCACCCCCTCTCTGTTTCTCCCTACCCCCCACCACCACCCACCCCTCCACCTTTAATCATCGTCCTCTCTTTCTCTTCATTAATCTAACGGACATTTCGCCCCCTCCGAGTGTGACCTCGCCCGCCTCGCCTCGCACTCCAAATAAAGGGATACTTCCATTAGCATTTCCGCCACTTCGACATCGCTGTTGGTGAATTCGGAATTGAGAATGAGAGAGGAAGGGGGAGGGAGGGAAGTAGGGAGATAGATAGATAGATAGATAGATAGATAGATAGATAGATATACAGCGAGAAGGAGGGAGGGGGAGGGGGAGGGGGAGGGAGGGAGAGAGAGGGAGAGGGAGGGGGGAGAGGGAGGGAGGGAGGGAGGGAGAGAGAGGGAGAGGAGAGAGAAAGAGAGAGAAAGAGCGAGAAAGACAGAGAAAGGGAAAGAGAGAGAGAGGGGAGAGAGAGAGAGCAACTCCCTCTAACACCCAACAAAAATTAAAAGTCATTAAGCGTATAGGCCTGTCAACACCCGCTCCTTATCCCCCCCCCCCCCCTTTACCCCCTTTACTTTGATTAATCGCCTTTCTCTCTCTCTCTCTCTCTCTCTGCCCCTCTCTCCTTCCTTTCTTTCTTCTCCCTGTCGCATGCCACTTCTTTTATTTACACAACGGGATCAGGCATGACCAGTTGTCCCATTGTTCAAGGACCATTAACAACCATTAGGTGCCATGCAGAACCATTAACGACTTCTTCAGCCTTCTCTACTCTCCCCTCCCCCCTTCCTTCCCCCCTACCTCTCCTTCCCTCCTTCCCCTCTCCCTCCCTTAAGCGTTTGTCCTGCTGGTTGGAAGGGAAGGGGGGAGGGGAGGGGAGGAGTTGCATTGTTATTGTTGTTGTTGTAGTCAAAGTTAAATTTGCCAAACATCGTGCATTTAGGTTCGAATTGATTGTGACGCATTTTTTTTACGTGGGGTGGGGTAGGCGGGTGGGGAAGCGGGGAACTTCTTTCACCAGACAGAATTTCCCTTTTTTTCATTTTCTTTACCGTCCCTTTCCCATTTTCATTTTTTTCGCTTGCTTTTTCCCTTTTCCCTCTCTCCCTCTCCCTACGTCCCTCCCCCTCTCACCTTCTCCATTACACACAAGACAATTACCCAGCTGTACCGCCACGTACTACCATTAGCACACAGACGAACACGCACACACACACACGCACACAAACACGCGCACGCCAGTGGAATTCGCACAAAAGCTGTAATGGCCGAAACGCGCGCCGGATAAACATTCTCTTACGGAAACGAGAATGTCAGGCCTAAAATAAATAAGGGAATATATAAATAAGGAAAAAAAAAACAGAAAAAAGGGTACACACAAACATTATTCCTTCAAACAAAAGCAAACGTGCAGATGTGACGAGAATCAGACAGTAATACACACACAAATATACACATGGACACACACACACACACACACACACACAGGATTTCCCTCTACGATGCACTCAGAAAAAGAAGTTACAAATATTTATTTTCAAACAGTATACATTCCCATACTCCATTTTTTAAGCAAACAAGCCACATAAATACATAAATATAAATACAGTAAGAGTAAAAAAAAAAATCTCACTCATACATCCACGCAATTCTTTTGTTGAAAACCTTTATTTCAGAAGATCCAATAAAACAACAAGAACAAAAAAAAACACGTAAACGTCAAACTAAAGGGAATCGAAAAAAAAAAATCTAACAGAAAATACAGCCAAATTAAAATGAATACAAGGATCAACTAACCGATTCCTGTATACTGTAGATACTGAACACCATTTACGATACAAAACCCCATTAGAGTATTTTCAATTACTTTTATTACATCAAAGTGATCTAAAAAAAATAAAAAAAAATAAAATAAAAAGTAAGCTAACTAACCAAACCAGAAAATACACTAAATAAACTGACTGTTAAATATTCGAATCCCTAATTTCCTTTCCGACTTTCCTATCATGCGTTCGTACTCACCGTATCTGCCGCCGTGAGGTTGATGCCCACGCCTCCCGCTCGGGTCGACAGCAAGAACACAAAGATGTCCGTCCTGATGGCAAACAACAAACGAACAAATTAACACATATATAAATAAGCCTATAAGTTTATTCCAATCATCCAAACAATACTCATTAATCTATCTGTTTCTCGATTCCTCGAAGAAAACCAACATACATAATAAAACAGACCCCCCAAACAAACACACGCAAATAATAACAACAACAATAATGAAATAATAATAACAATAACAAAAATAATAATAACACCAATGATAATAATGAAATAATAACAATAACACTAACAAAAACAATAATAATAACAACAATAACAATAAAGATATAACAACAATAACACTCCTACTAATACCAATAACAAGAACTCACTTGGTCTGGAAGTCGGCCACCATGTCGCGGCGGTCCGAGATCTTCGAGGAGCCGTCCAGCCTCATGTACTTGTGCTTGCGGTGCCACATGTACTCCTACGAATGGGAGAAGAGGGAAAGTGTGAGAGAAGAGGGAACGTGGGAAGTAATGCTGGATGCTTATCGGAGTGAGAGAGAGAGAGAGGGTGGGAAGGAGGGTGAGAGGGAGGGAAGGAGGGAGGGAGGGAGGGAGGGAGGGAGGGAGGGAAGGAAGGAGGGAGGGAAGGAGGGTGAGAGAGAAGGAGGGAGGGAAGGAGGGTGAGAGAGTAGGAGGGAGGATGAGAGGGAAGTAGGGAAGGAGGGAGGGTGAGAAAGAGAGAGACGAAGAAAATAAAATTTTGAAACAATGAAACAAAGGAGAGAAAATACACAGATGGAATAACGTTAATTAATCCCAGACTAATCAGAATATGCAATTAAGAAAGAAGACAGGGAAACAACAATCCCTGAATAATGAAGCTACAATATTTCTCTTGATGATTAATCCTGCTAATATCGTAAACTGCGACGGATTGTAATCAAACTGGTCTTCATCTTCCAAAACGACCCAATTAAAGAAAATGTACAGGCATTAACAGGGGAAAAAAACGAGTAACAGGATAAAATAAATGCTAAAATCAACGCACTCTGCAATGAAATATCACAAATGTCAACAATGACTACAATAATAAAAAAAAAAAAACAATAACAAGACAGTACCGACGATGATAATATAAACAACAACAACAACAATAATAATAACAGCAGCAGCAGAAGAAGAAGAAGAACGGAAACTAAAGCAAAATCGGTCAAAAAGCACAACCAGGAAGAGAAGGGCGAGAGCAGAGAGGTCAAACTTTATGGAAGATTCCGTAGAGTTTTCCTCGCCTCTCGCTCCCTGGAAGACTCGGAAGGTATAATGTCTGGGAGGGAGGGATGAAGGGAGGGAGGGAGGGAGGGAGAGAGGGGAGGGGGGGGGGGGGGTTGGATGGAAGGAGGGGAAATGGGAGGAAGGAGAGGAAATAAAGAAGGAAAAGAAGAGGAAATAAAGATGGAGAGTGCGGAGGAGGAAAGGGTGAAGAATAGCTGGGAGGGGGGGAGGGGAGGAAAGAGGAAGAGATCAATAACCAATCAATGGAGTTTGCAACCGCAAGCATCAGTTTCGGTTAAGTCACGACCTGTCTCGTTCAATCTTACACGAGAGAGAGGGGGGAGGGGGGAGGGGGAAGGGAGGGAGAGAGGGAGAGAGGGAGAGAGGGAGAGAGGGAGAGAGAGAGAGAGAGAGAGAGAGAGAGAGAGAGAGAGAGAGAGAGAGAGAGAGAGAGAGAGAGAGAGAGAGAGAGAGGTGGGGATCCATATATATCGCAGTTCATATGTAATAATATCTCATATCTTTGATTGACTGACGGTCGTTTATGACGTCGGTGATGACGTCATTTTGAAGTCACAGAACAATCTCGTTTCACTTGTTTGATTGCGTCATTCGTCCGAATATCTGTCTGTCTCTCTCTCACCCTGTGTGTGTGTGTGTGTGCGTGTGTGTGTGTGTGTTCACCCCGGCCATTCCTTGCACACAGGGGGTAAGAAACAAAATGAAACAGACAGCCTGTCACACCAAGAATAACCTTTGTAACAAATGGAATAAAACTAAATTATCTATTTACTCTTTCTCTGTCTGTCTGTCTGTCTGTCTGTCTCTCTCTCTCTCTCTCTCTCTCTCTCTCTCTCTCAATATTTGTCTCTAACCCACTCATTCCTTTATCTCTTCCCCTGACTTTCCTCCCTTTCCTCCACATCTTCCATACCTTCTCTTCTTCCATAACCTTTTCTCCTCTCCGTTACACAGCCCCTCCTCTCCCCCTATTCCTACCTCTCCGCACCACTCCTCCTCTCTTCTTCATTTTCAACCCTTTTAGCCTTCCCTCCCCTCCCCCCTCCTACGCCTTCCTCTCCACCCTTCTCCCTCTCCCTCCTTTATTCCTCTACTCCTATTCTTCCCTCTCCGCCACGCTCCCTCTCTTTCCTTCATTTTCCTATTCTCCTTTCTCTGTACGTTTCTCCCTCTCTCTCCTCCTACCCCTCCTCTTACTTCCTCTTCACCCCCCTCCTTCTTCCTTCTTTATTCCTCTACTCCTATTCCTTCCTCTCCGCCATGCTCCCTGTCTCTCTCCTTCATTTTCCTCCAATTCTCCCTCTCTCTCCTCCTCATATTTCATCTCCACTCATCTCCTATTCCCTCCTTTATTCCTCTATTCCTATTCCTCCCTTTCCGCCACGCCCCCTCTCTTTCCTCCTCCTATTTCCTCTCCACCCATCTCCTTCTCCCTCCTTTATTCCTCTACTCCTATTCCTCCCTCTCCTTCATTTTCCTCCAATTCTCCCTCTCTCTCCTACTCCTTCCTCTCCACCCCTTTCCTTCTCCCTCCTTTATTCGACTATTCCTATTCCTCCCTCTCCGCCACGCTCCCTCTCTTTCCTTCATTTTCCTCCTATTCTCCTTCCTCTCCGTCACGCTCCCTCTCTTTCCTTCATTTTCCTCCTATTCTCCTTCCTCTCCACCCTTCTCCCTCTCCCTCCTTTATTCTCCTCCTCCTATTCCTCCCTCTACATGAAGCACACACACAAAGCGGAAATTTACCGCCGCCAATCGACCGGAACAACGCTGCGTTTCCGGCCATTTCCGTCCAGGCGTTTCATTTTTTCTTTTTTTTTCCCTTTCCTTTTTCACCCCCCCCCTCCCTCCCTCCCTCTCTCTCTCTCTCTCTCTCTCTCTCTCTCTCTCTCTCTCTCTCTCTCTCTCTCTCTCTCTCTCTCTCTCTCTTTCTAAGGTAAGAAGGAAGGTAGGAGAAAGGGCAATGGATGGGCAGGGGAGGAAGAGAAGGAAGGGGTGGAGAGATAGAAATACCATGAAAAGAAGCAATATAGAAAAGGATGGAGAAGAAAAATAGAGAACAGAAGAAGAAGAGAGAGAGAGGGAGAGGGGGAGAGGGAGAGAGAGAGAGAGAGAGAGAGAGAGAGAGAGAGAGAGAGAGAGAGAGAGAGAGAGAGAGAGAGAGAGAGAGAGAGAGAGAGAGAGAGAGAGAGAGAGAGGCGTAACCTGGTATTGATTGTGCCCGGCGAGAAAGGGGGAGAGGAAGGGGGTAGAGGAAAGTTCTTGGGAGGGGGGAAGGGGGAGGAGGGGTCGTCGGATATCATCTGCCTGAGGATGCAAAGAAGCTGACCTCGATAGCAAAGTGCTTAAATGCAAATGATACAATACAGAAACGGTCACGCTCTATATAAACACACCGTATGGGCCCTCATACGGACACGGACACAGACAAACACAAATAATGAAACGGAAACCAAAGAAAAGACAACTAAAAAAAAAAAACTACTGAATTTAGCGATTCTAAATTACGAGTTCCATGAAACAAGATAAAAAAAAATAAAGATCACGCACGACAAATACGAGACATTTAGCAGGATGGAAATACTCACCCCCCCCTTCATCCTTCCCTTCCCTCTTTTAATATAATGAACAAAAAAGTGCAATTTTCTTTTGTTTTTATCATTCACATTCTACTCTTGTTAACATTTATATCGATTTTTTTTCTTTTCTATCATCCTCCCTTTATCACTTTATTTCATCTTCCTTTTTTTCAATGCAGAAGCAAAACACAAAAAAAAAGGTTCATACAAAAGCACAGAAAACGAGACAGACAGACAGACAGATAGACACACACACACACACACACACACATTACTTCACCCATACCCTCTCTAACCCTACCCCCACACCTCCTGCAGCCCTTCCCCCCTATTAAGAAACTGGGCCATATCGTACAAAGGTACATCAATCTCCCCTTTATACACTTTCTACATCCTACAATACCCCCCCCCCCCCTCCTTTCCAACGCCCCAGCCCTACCCCCTCCCCTCCTCCCTGCCATATATACGCTGATTACAAGCCACGTCAAAACGTTGGCGATAAAATAAACAAAGAGTTATCTATCGTTCTTCTTCTCGCTGTGTACCTCTCTCTTGCCCGAAAATTAAACTGTTTCTTTAATTCAGTCTATTGTTTTTTTTTTATCTGCCTTCGTCGTCCATTTATTCCATATTTGATCTTTTCCTTCTTCATCTCTCTCACACCATTCTTCTCTATTTTTGTCTATCTCTTTACCCCTCTCCTTTTCTCCAACTCTCCCATCTCCATCTCTCCATTCTTCTCCTTCCCTCTGTCTATCTCTCTATCCCTCTCCTTTTCTCCCTCTCTCCCTCCCTTCCTTCGCAACGTGGAGGCAGTCGCGGCCGAGATAATAATTCAGGATAAGCTCTTAAGCACATACATACATTGCAAACTCACGCACGCACACACGTACACATGGGAGAAAACAAAAGAGGTACATATAGACACGCATGCACATAATTAGACATGGAACCACAATACATGTATACAAAAATCAAACAAACAAACAAACACAAACAAACACATATGCATACAATAACCCAAAGACACACATACACACAATCCCTTCCTCAAAAAAAGAACAAATAATTATAATCTAATTTAACCTAAAGTCCCCCCGTCAAATTATGACGTCACGATCGAAATCTGATGTCATGCAAATCAAACGATGACGTCATACGTAAAGCCTTAACAAATCGATGACGTAAAAAAAAAACAACTATTCCCTCACATGAAACCCAAGAAAAGCACAGAACTGACCAACAAGGGGAGGAGGACGGTGAAACCAGGAAGGAGGGAGAAAGAGAGAAAAAGAGAGAGACAGAGAGAGAAAGAGAGAGAGAGAGAGAGAGAGAGAGAGAGAGAGAGAGAGGAGAGAGAGAAAGAGAGAGAGAGGAGAGATAAAGAGAGAGAGAGAGAGAGAGAAGAAGAGAGGAGAGAGAGAAGAGAGAAAGAGAGAGAAGAGAGAGAGAGAGAGAGAGAGAGAGAGAGAGAGAGATAAAGAGAGAGAGAGAGAGAGATAAAGAGAGAGAGAGAGAGAGATAAAGAGAGAGAGAGAGAGATAAAGAGAGAGAGAGGAGAGAAAGAGAGGAGAGGAGAGAAAACAGGAGAGAGGAGAAATAAGACG